GTTCTGGCAACTTGGTGTTCATCCCGAAGAAAGATACAAAACTGCATTCTATCTACCAAATCACCACCTTCAATGGAACGTCTTACCTTTCGGCCTCAAAACAGCACCATCCCTATTCCAGCAAGCAATGCTACGAATATTCAAATCTCTTCTTCATACGTCTTTAATATACATCGACGACATCCTTCTCTTCTTAGCCGATGAAAATGAACATATTCAGCTGCTTCAACAGTTTCAAAGCATAATCAGAGAGTACGGAATTATGCTCTCAGCTAGAAAGATGGTCATAGCCCAGCCCAACATTGACTTTCTTGGCATGCAGATTACAAATGGTAATTTTACACCGCAAGCCCATCTTGCTACAGCACTTCTAGATTTTTCTGAAGAAAATCTTACAAAGCGACAAGTTCAGCAATTCCTTGGCATAATCAATTACGTTAGCGACTTTATCCAGCAACTTTCGCAGCTGACAAGACCGCTACAGAAGATGCTGACAAAGAATCCACCCCAATGGACAAAACGACAGACTGAAGCTGTCAAAAGTCTAAAGCTAGAGGTGCAGAAGCTACCACCTTRAAAGATTCCTTCAACAGGAACACGCATTTTGCAGACTGACGKAAGTGARAAATATTGGGGAGCCATTTTATTTGAAGAAATAAATGGAAAACGTCAAATCTGTGGACACAAAAGCGGACGCTTCAAAGATTACGAAATCCATTATCACTCCATGTTCAAAAAAATCCTAGCAGTCAAAAGGGTTATGAGAAGTTCGAGTTCTATTTGATAGGACATAAATTTCGCATCGAAATGGATATGTCATCGTTCCCGAAGATGTTACAATTCAAACAAAAGATGGTCCCACATCAGCAGTTGTTGCGATGGAGTGAATGGTTCTCAAAGTATAATTTCGATTCCTTCTATTTAAAGGGCACGAAGAATACTCTTGCTGACATGCTCAGTCGAAACCCAGTAAAAGAAATACAAATGATGGCAAGTTCTTCTGCAAAATGTTACTACGACTTCACCTCCAACATGCCAGAAGATGCTCATCAGCTTATCAATAGGAAAGCTCTACACGAGCATCTTAACGATAAGATCTTCTACTACCAATCCATCATCCTGTCAAAATACGGAACCAACAGTCATCATATCTTTACAGATTAGGGATTCATCATATCATTAGGGATTCACCCAGACTATCCGTTCGCACATCTTTACAGATTCGAAAACACCAACATGCCATAAGAAGTCCTCTGTTTTCTCTGGTATCTCTGCTCGGTTTACACCATAGGTATTGCTTTTGATATACAATGACTATATCAATACATCAACGATCAACAAGGTCACAAAAAATATTTTTTAACATTCTTAACATGGTTTGCACCCCTACCCGTTTGGAGTGGAAAGTTGTGAAGATCAGCAAAAGCAATAAGCCTACCATTCAAGACGCTAAAATGTCAAGGAGGTCTTAATCCTTTCTTTAACCCTCACACGATCTACTTTTTCCATCGGCCCGTTCAAGTCAACACCAAGTCCGCGAAAATCCATGCGCTACCGACTCTCATTCATCACAACGACTATCATCGAGGAGTTCGTCCTGATTTCAATGTCAATGACAACAAAGCATACGAAGATTTTCATACTCACGCATTTCGCCTCAACAACGCCAGACAAACTTTTCCGGTATCCTTCATCCCGAATTGGACTTACTATCCAGTTAGTTATCAAATGAGCCTAGACGAAGACCTACAGTTCTTCATGGAAAACATGGAAAATACGTCAAACGTCCCCGAAATTCCGAATTCAATCAAGCAAGAATCACCGTCTCAAGAAAACCAGCTAGAATACTTCCAAGATGCACAACTTCCCGATGATTCGATGAGTATTGATAAAATTGGCAAGATGTTCGGCATCAATGTCAATGAAGATTCGCAGAAGCCATACGAAGAACCAGAAATAGAATACGAATGCCCAAACGATCATTATGGCTGCTGCGACAAACACATCATCAAGTTCGAGATGGACCACTAAGTAAGATATTTTCAGTGTGTGTTTAAGTACTTTTAAGTGTGTTTTAATGTAAAATAAATAAATATGTAAACATGATGTAAGCGATGATGTAATCGCTGCTTATGTACGTATGATATAAGCAATGTTGTCATTGCTGAAGTAAGCGCTTATGTCAGCGCCCTCATCCTCACCTATAAATATGTGTGTACCTCCATTGTAAAATATCAAGTTTGGAAAACATTAAAAACCTCTCTCTAAGTTTTTCTCTCTAAATGTCTTTCTAAATCATGTAGTTTTCCGGACCTTCAAACTTCTTTCATAAGTTCTGGTTTCTATCGTCCATCCCGGAAGTCAAGATTCTGCTCTATTGCTTTAGATAAGCACGAGTGGATGTCAATACGACGGCCAATATTACTTTCATGGGGAACGTATTATCCTAAGAGTGGTTGAGCTATTGATTGGCCAGAGTAGTGCCGATGTTTGCTCCTAATACGTGGATAATATTATCACCCTCGTCTGTCAATATGACTTAGTCAATACAGCGTCCTCTCGCGGTTGTTTAGACAATGGTATCAGAGCCAAAGGCTTTCATGGTAGCTGATGGAAATTAGTGTTTATGATTGAACGTTTTAAGTGTTCTGGAAAACAACCCTCTCAAAC